CTGTGTCGCAGGACCTGCCAAATGCGATGACCGCAGCTGAGATCACGGAGAAGCTTGGGCTTCATCAACTGCGGAGCCGCCAGTGGTTCATTCAGTCAGCTTGCGCGACCACAGGTGACGGTCTGTACGAGGGTCTGGACTGGTTGTCGCGCACGCTTTCTTCCAAGCGCTGAGTTGACGTTGAGATGGACAGGGGTGTGTCCTTATGTAGTGGATGCATCCCACGCGGGATTGAGGCCAAGCTTCCCGTTGTCCATTTTTGCAGGGTCATGTCCTAATGTAGCGTGATGTGCTCCCGAATGCATGCTTTGCCTGCCAATGGCCCAATTGGAGGCCAACACGCTTGACCTCAAAAGAATGTTTGCTGCAGTTGGTTTGACAGAGATGTGTCCTCGTGAGGATGAAGGCCATGCCAAGCATGTTAGCACTAGCTAGCGCTTGTGCCGACATGTGCTTTTTCTCCGTTGCTGTACGGGACAGATTGGGGTGAAGTAGTCAACTTGCGCACGAAGCCATGGGTCTTGCTTTCACAAAGATATGGCAGCGGCTGATCGGCAAGCAGGAAATGCGCATCCTGATGGTCGGGCTGGATGCTGCAGGTAAGACCACCATCCTGTACAAGCTGAAGTTGGGTGAGGTAGTCACCACGATCCCAACAATTGGTTTCAACGTCGCGGCTTTCATGACACAAGCAGGCCTTTTGTTTTATCAACATACTTGCCTCAAACTTACCAGGATCACTGAGAAGGTGATGTGTGGCCGCTGTTTTGACAGAGCGTGTGGCATTTGCAAGGAAACTGTGGAGTACAAGAACTTGTCCTTCACTGTTTGGGATGTGGGCGGTCAGGCGCGACTTGGAAGTTCCCCCCATAGCGTAACGTTGGACCATGACTGGACTTGTTTCGCGGAAGTTTGATTCGACTTTAGTTGCCCATTGGAACCAAAAGTTGAACATTGTTTGAATAGCATAAGTTGCTGGCCAGCGGGGTCAACCTTTCTCAAACATTATGATATGGCGAGGACAAGATCCGCCCCCTGTGGCGCCACTACTATCAGGGCACCAACGGTCTCATCTATGTCGTCGACAGCAACGACCGGGATCGGATTGAGGACGCCCGAGAGGAACTCAACAAAATGCTGAATGAGGATGAGATGCGCGACGCGGTGCTGCTGGTCTTTGCAAACAAGCAGGACGGATGCTAGCGACATGATGTGAGCTGCGTGCGGGTCGTGTGGGACAGCGTGGGAAATTCAAGAGCTGCCCAACAGCGATCACGAACAGAACGGCTTCACTGTGCATTCCCAGTATCACCCGCGGTCACTAACAGGACATTTGCATTCCATAAAGCAAAAGATGAGGATCCAGTTTGGAACGTTTCTTTTCATCCCCAGCATCACCAGCGCTGCCCAGATTTCATAAAGAAACTTGAGCAGCTGATGATGATGCTGACGATGATCATGATGATGATGATGACGATGATGATGACGATGACATGATGATGATGATGATGATGATGATGATGATGATGATGCTCATGATGATGCTTTCGCATGCCCAGCATCACCAGCGGTACCTGAATTTAGGAGACTGCTGCTGCTGCTGCTGATGATGATGATGATGATGACGACGAGGATGATGATGATGCTGATGCCTGTTCGCATCCCCAGCGTCACCAGCGGTGCATAAATTTCATAAAGAAACTGCTGCACTGCTGCTGCTGCTGATGATGATGATGATGATGATGATGATGATGATGATGACCCGCCTTTCCCGTGCACACCTCCCCTTTTGGAGCAGGGGTCCAGCAGATTATTTGGGCTCATCTTGTGCTACTGCATTTTTTCCAGAAGAGAGGTTGAGGTATCCCTCAAGCTACGCCATAGTGACGCCATTTGAGCCTGTTTGCTTACCCCTCATGCGTGTTCGGTGTCGCAGGACCTGCCAAATGCGATGACCGCAGCTGAGATCACGGAGAAGCTTGGGCTTCATCAACTGCGGAGCCGCCAGTGGTTCATTCAGTCAGCTTGCGCGACCACAGGTGACGGTCTGTACGAGGGTCTGGACTGGTTGTCGCGCACGCTTTCTTCCAAGCGCTGAGTTGACGTTGATGGACAGGGGTGTGTCCTTGTGTAGTGGATGCATCCCACGCGGGATTGAGGCCAAGCTTCCCGTAGTCCAGTTTTGCAGGGTCATGTCCTAGTGTAGCGTGATGTGCTCCCGAATGCATGCTTTGCCTGCCAATGGCCCAATTGGAGGCCAACACGCTTGACCTCAAAAGAATGTTTGCTGCAGTTGGTTTGACAGAGATGTGTCCTTGTGACAGTGAACTCTATGCCAAGCACGGTGGCATGAGCTTGGCTTGAGAGCGATGCAAATGATGCTGAAATGTGCATTTGTCCGTTGCCGTACGAGACAGATTGAGGTGAAATAGTCAACTTGCGCACGAAGCCATGGGTCTTGCTTTCACAAAGATATGGCAGCGGCTGATCGGCAAGACGGAAATGCGCATCCTGATGGTCGGGCTGGATGCTGCAGGTAAGACCACCATCCTGTACAAGCTGAAGTTGGGTGAGGTAGTCACCACGATCCCAACAATTGGTTTCAACGTCGCGGCTTTCATGACACAAGCAGGCCTTTTGTTTGTTCAACATACTTGCCTCAAACCTACCAGGATCACTGAGTAGGTGCTGTTCGGCCTTTGTTTTGACAGAGCGTGTGGCATGTGCAAGGAAACTGTGGAGTACAAGAACTTGTCCTTCACTGTTTGGGATGTGGGCGGTCAGGCGCGACTTGGAAGTTAACCCCCCCCCCCAGCGTACAATTGGACCATCACTGGACTTGTTCCGCGGAAGTTTGATTCGTCTTTAGTTGCCACTGGAACCAAAAGTTGAACGTGTTTCAATTGCAGAAGTTTTGCCGGCCAGCGGTGTCACCCTTTCTCAAACATTATGATATGGCGAGGACAAGATCCGCCCCCTGTGGCGCCACTACTATCAGGGCACCAACGGTCTCATCTATGTCGTCGACAGCAACGACCGGGATCGGATTGAGGACGCCCGAGAGGAACTCAACAAAATGCTGAATGAGGATGAGATGCGCGACGCGGTGCTGCTGGTCTTCGCAAACAAGCAGGACGGATGCTAGCGACATGATGTGAGCTGAGTGTCTGTACTTCGTGTTGAACAGTTTTGGAATTTTTGGTTGGTCAGACAGGTTGAGTCAATCGTGATCTATGTTATGCGGTCCAATCCAATATGGGCGAGGCACACTCAAATGATGCCCTAGCGACTCCCCGGCCTTTGTGAGCACGGCTGCGCAGATTCAACCTTTGCTTACCCCGTATACGCGTGCTGTGTTGCAGGACCTGCCAAATGCGATGACCGCAGCTGAGATCACGGAGAAGCTTGGGCTTCATCAACTGCGGAGCCGCCAGTGGTTCATTCAGTCAGCTTGCGCGACCACAGGTGACGGTCTGTACGAGGGTCTGGACTGGTTGTCGCGCACGCTTTCTTCCAAGCGCTGAGTCATGTGTCCTTATGTAGTGGATGCATCCCACACGGGATTGAGGCCAAGCTTCCCGTAGTCCAGTTTTGATGGGTCATGTCCTAATGTAGCGTGATGTGCTCCCAAATGCATGTTTGCCTGGAGGCCATGGAAAAGAGTGCCTGTGCGGATGAGGGCTTCGCAATATTTGTTCGCTCAGTTGTTTGTCCTTGTGTTTGGCGATTTCCCCACGCAAGAAATGCAGAACAGCAGTGCCAGTCAAAGATCTAAGACCCGAAGCAGCCACGTGTGAAATGTGTTTTTTTTTCAGACTGGTCACTACGGGGCTCATGGTCATGGCCTTTCTCTCCGTATCTACGAGATGTAGGCAACCGCTACAACACTCCTTGAGAGGAACCATGATCATGACCTAATGTCGACCCCGGAATAATCAACCTGAGTCAAGAGGGAACGCCTATCAAAATCAACTAGGTGGTCAATCGTTGGTCCCGTTCAGTCAGTTTGGACCATGGCTCTAGCGGTATGTGTCTGAAAAATGGGGGCTGGGTGGATGCGCGAGCCTTTCACTTTCTCGGAGTTGGGTGTTCCCCACAAAGCTGACAATTTTTTGTTGGAGTGGATCCGAGCTCTTTTTCAGCAAGAGAGCTCACCTTTGCACGGAACGAACCAGTTTTCAGTTCGAGGATCCCCCGAATTTTGACTAGGTCCCCCAGTAGTGCCCATTTGCCGTTTCTTTTTGGGGGGAGGGTTCCCCTACTAAAATAATTTGACAAAACAGAAAAACAAATGGTACCCTTGTTCTAACCTCTCAAGTCTGGAGGACCTAGTTGAGGATGATGTACCCCTAAGTCGAATTTCGAGGTCTCCGACGCCGCCCGAATTTTGCCTCCCCAAGAGAGGAGATAAGAGCAATGCTGGGGGGCCTGCTGCATTCGCAAGGGGCGTGGGCGTTTTTTTTTTTGAGGGGTGCCCAAATTTCCGGACCTCCAACAGATTCCAGAGGAAGCGCCGCAGAATTGCATGCCAGTTTTAGTCCTCAGTGCTCGCCACTGTTCCAGAAACATCGTTACTGGACAAATGACATCAAATTGTGTGGAGGTACAGTCAGGTTTCAGGAAGGGCAAAATCCACATTAGACAAAATCAGAAAATCCTCCCCCTTTCTCAGAAGAGGCACAAATCCCTCACCCAACCTCTGGTTCACCACCTCCTGGAAAGGCTGGTGGAGATTTGTTCTTAGCACATCGGTCAGACGATTGATAGAACCCTTCTTCGGTTTCCTCCCTATTTTGATGCAATCGCATTGAGTTTGCTTTGGCCATGTCGGGCCTGAGTCCTGAGCGTAATCGCCAGGATGGTGCTTTTGTTGCCTGGCGGCAACCACTTGTTTTCAAGCATTGTTGAACCCATCTTTTGTGTAGTGAAAAAGGGACCTCATGGGTTCAAAAGAGAGTTTTGAAATTCTCGCGGAAGCCGCCTTTCGCATCGGGAGCCAGGCGCGTAGCCGGGCCCAGCACGAGATGTTCAGCTGCACCAACTTCGTCGCACGGCTAAGACATGGAGTTTTCATGGCCTGGGCTCAACTGGGTTAGACTTAAGATACATTTTGCATTTTACCAGTGACTCAAAGGGAAGAAAACAATAGAATATACATTCTATAACTGGGCCCAAGTCTAATCGTGTCAAATAAGCGCTGGAAAACTGCATGAAAACTCCTGGTGGAAGCATGTGAGCTGCACCTTTATGTTTGTTGCTTAAAGCCGTTCGGGCCGGCTGAAACATCTCCTTAAAGGAGGATGTCCTTGTTCCAAGGGCTTTCCCAATTCCCGTCTGGGATTACGCCCGGTTTCCTGGTTATTGTAGCTTATTTTGGTTTCTTTGGGATTGTTGGATCATTTCCCTAGGGCGCAATCCCAGGATGCAACAGGAGAGTCCCTAAACTTGTCTATCCTTTGCATAAGTCAACCTCCCTGACTTGGACTTTAGCCACTGGTTGGTTTGGACCATTTGGGTGCTACCCCCAACTGGGGGGGTTTGGATGTGCGGCCTGGGGATTTCAAGCCCTGGTTCTTGTGAAGGACCCTCCTCAGCCACCAAGCCAGCGATTCGGCTCCAAACAAAACCCGGCGAAGCTGAGAAGTGAGTAACCTTGAAAAGAAAGCAAGCTTCCGCATCTAGGTCCCCCAGTAGTGCCCTTGTACCATTTGTTGGGCGGGTTCCCCTACTAAATTGGACAAAAAGGAAAAACGTTGGTACCAACTTGTTCTAACCTCTCAAATCTGGAGGACCTTGTGTGTAGCCTTTCCATTAGCTCTGCTTTGCCTGAGGTCTTTTCCAGCCGTGCGGCGGCCTTGCTCTGTGCCAAGGCTTTGGCGCTCGCATCGCTCGGCGAGTGGATTTGGGTGTTGCTGCTTTGGTTGAAGGTGTTGGTTGTTTGAAGTTGTGTGTTGGTTTTGGTTTGCTTGACACACAACGCAGTCTCTAAAAGGGTTCTACTTGCTGTAACAAGAGGAGTTTTTGTTGGCGATGCAGTTGCGCACGTGGTTTGCTTGTTTGTTCTACTCATTTTTGAGAAGGTGGAGGTTGCAAAGGACATGTTTTCTTGCACGTTATGTGCAGCGGTTGGTAGCATCCTACTCGGGCACCGTCCACTGGCCAATAACGGCAGAAATGATGAAGGTCCGAAGTTTACGTGGTAACAATTGAAACCTCCCTTTTTTGAGGAGCCTGGGCATTCCGAACAGGAGGGTTGGTCGCAAATTTGGTTAGCTTCACAGTACCACGGGACTTTCGATGGCACAAGAGAGAGAGAGAGAGAGGGAAAGAAAAAGAGAGAACCATGGTACGTACCACCTACACCTCAACTCAACAGGGGGAACGACAAGGATGCTGTTTAAGCAGGTCGGGGATTAAACCGTGGTTTCCTAGGGGACCCTCACAGCCAGAGATGCTTCTTGGGAGGACCATTTTGGTGGTGAATAACAAGTTCGGACTTTTCAGTTGCCAAAGCACCCAGGCAGTGAGGAATGATTCTCTTCACTTTTTTCCAGTTGCTTGTCTCCCGTTTGCTGAAGAACATGTTTTTGTTGGTTGCAACGGAATCTACCACTGAAAATAGATCTTTTTCCGGGGGGACTTAGGCAGTAGAGGTTCTCACTTCCTGAGTTCCTGTACTTTAATCACTTTTCGGGAAGACCATTTTGGTGGTACATAGGTACCAAGTCCCTGGCTACTTTTTCTGGTCAACTCACTTAGGAAGTGAGGGTCGTTTGAAGAAAAGGCGTTGGCCTCTGCACCTGCCGTCGCCTGAGCTGCGGCTGCGCCAGGCCAGGCAGTCGCCGCAGGAGCGGCTGAACTCTAGCCACGACCCCGCGATCATCGTGGCGGCTTCTTGGCGGAGAAAAACATGCGGAGGCTTGGGGTCTCGAACGCCTTTTTTTTTTGGGGGGGGGGATATGGGCTAAATATGCGTGCTTTTCAAATATATATTTCTTCCGGGTACCCCTTTTTTATGGCTTGAAAGAGAAACCAGGGACCGAGCAAGCCTTGCCATTTTTCTTCTTTGGGGGCGGGGATGGGTTCCCTAGAGACACACCCACATGAAACAGAAACTGAACATAATGTTCTTCTGTGTAGCGGTCTCCAAGACTAAACGACTCCCTGTAAAAGGTTTCCTGAGGCGTGACCCCCTGATTTGAGACTGGGTAAAATGATTGTAAAAAGACAGCACACGGATAGCAACAACTGTGGATGGACGAAATCCTGCACCAACTAAGAGGCCCTAGAGGGATGATTCCCCCATAAATACCAACGAACAATGGTTTCCCACGGTTTCCAAGTGGTGCAGGACTTTGTCCATCCACACTAGGTTTGCCTGGGTTTCCGCCCACTACACGTCCAACTTGCGCCGACCGGGTCTTGGGAGGCCGCCTGGATAAACCCTCAGATGTCGACGCTGCAACAGTTGGGTATGTGTCAAAATTGGCAGGACCCACAAAATCTGTGGCTTCCCTTGACTTTCATTTTTTCTCTTGACTTTCCTTTTAAGATACCCTGAAGCAAACAGCCTCTTCTTGTTTCCTGCGTTCAGCCTGTCCATCACGCTGGTTCGCCCTTGGCCGGTTTTCGGTTACACCAAGGACGGCGTCGTGCTCTTTCGAGGTCCAGGAGACGATGGCTACCCCTTCCTCACGCAGGAGGAGACAAACAATCGATTCAGGTCCTTTACTTGGGTTGATCTGGCCCAAGTGACAGTGACCATGGGTAATTTGTCCCACTTGGTGAGAAATATCATCTTTTTTGGTGGTGTTCCCCAATGGTCATCCTATATCATGCAAAGGACCTTTTGATCAATCCCCACTGAGGCGTTCCTTTCTTCAGGCTGTGGACTTGTGGATGCAGATCGATGCTTTGGGTGCTTTAACACCCCTGCACCCCCTGCCCTCCAAAGGGAAGCCCAAAAGGATGGTGCTCAAGCAGTGGCTTGAACATGCTTCGACCGGGGGCAAGGTTTCGGGCCCAGGTCCTTTGTGAGTTGGCGCACCTCCTGGGTTGCACCCACTGGAAGCCAGGTTTTGTTTGCTTGTATTTGGGTGTGTGTGTGTGTGTGTGGTCTTTTGGGGCCCTAAGATGGTGGATTGTCCTCTTGGATTCCCCTTATCACCACCAAAAAAAAAGTGTCCAACAAAAAAGCAAACGCATTTCTTGCACGAGGCCTTTTTCTTGGTGAACAAGTCTGGGGGCATAAGGATCGAGTAGACCCTCAGGCTTCGGCTTTGGAGCTGGCGTCCCGGCTGCATGGGGAAATCTCGGACCATTTCCCTCTTGAGCACCTGATCCGGATTTTTCTAAAGGACTCACCCCCCCCCCCCGCCCAATAGTGATGTTCCTTCTGGTTTCCCTTTAGTAGCTACGAAAGAAAAGGAGGTACCCCCATAAGAAGACAGACCCTGCTTGGTTTTACTCGTTCTAGCCACCATGTTTAATTAGGGTCACAAAAGGTCTACCATTTATTTCCAGGTCCTTTTTGGACAAGTGAGTGAAGGGACCTGGGGTTGCGTTTTATTGATCCATTTGCAAAGGGTTGGTTCAAAGGGCGGGGGAACCTGCACAGCTTTACGGGCAGGCTGACGTGCATGACCTATCTCAGCAGTGTTTGCTTTTGAGGCAAATCTTTTGGCGCAAGCCCTTGCCCCATGGCTTTCCTTACGAGTCTGCGAGCAGACTCCGTTTGGGTTTGAGCAGCGCTGGTTTCTGAATCAATGCCGAAACAATTGGATGGTCGGGCACCATAGAGCCAAATTACCTCATGATCATAGGACAATCGTGTGTTGTTTCGCCCTTTGGACTTGTGTCAAAGCATGTCCCAGGGCCGAACTACTGAATTGGCATTGGGGTGAGGGGTTCCTTCGTTTCCCGTGGTTTTTCAACATTGCCTTTGGCCATTTGAATTAAGTTTCCTTTGGGGTGATGTTGAAGGGGGAAAGACCGCCATGAGTTTTATATGGAACCTCAAAAGTGGCTGGACATGAATCCCCTCAACCATGTGCACCAAAGGGTCCCCTTAAGCATAACAGGCTCACGCCAGAATTTGAGAAGTCCCTTTGAACCAACCCCCCAGCCCCACCCCCCCCCAAAAAAACAACAGCTACCCAAACCTACTGTGGATGGGCGAAATTCTACACCACTTTGAAACCACGGTTGCAACCTCACGTTTGAAACCATGGCTTCTCGGTATTTCCCAGGGGGTCAAAAATCAGAAGCCGGGCGTTCTGAAAACGGCGCGTGGGATGGGATTTCAGCCATCCGGTCCCTTAACCTTTGAGATCTTTTTAGTTCGTTTCGAGGTCGTTTTTCCGTTTTCGACTCACCAAAAGTGAATATCACTTTTAGGGGCAGCCTTTCGAGTAGGGGACCCTACCTTCCAATTCCATTCTTTCCGGGGATCCTTCTTTTCAGGGTTTCCCCTCAAAAACCCAGGGGAAACATCGGTTGTTGACAAGAACGGTCGAAAAGAATGGACAAGGAATCAACCCCAAGAGTAGAATAAGGGTACCAACTTGTTTTTCTGTAGTCTATTTTAGTAGGGGAAGCCTCACCCAAGAGTTCTTAAGGGCACTGGGGGACCCCAAGAGTCGTGGGCAGCGGCGATCTTCCGCCGACTCCGCCAGGAGCAAGTGTCGCTGCAGGTCCTCGTGGCGGGGCGCGCGCTCAAGCGTCCGGGGCGCCCGGAAGTGGCGAACAGGCCCCAGGTCTGCCCCACGTCGGCCGGGCCGGGGGGCGGGGGAAAAAGGCCCATGCTTGAGGGGAGCCTCAAAACGGTGGTGATCTGTTTAATTTTTGGCGTTTATTTGGAAGTTATCCAAAACTTCTATTTGCTTAAGAATGTGTTTCGTTTTCCCCTGGTTTTAAAAAGGAATCGATCACTACTGGACATATGTTTATTTTTCTTCAAGGGGGCTTAAGCAAATGGAAGTTTTGGAGGGGAGCCCCAAAACGGCGGTGATCTTTTTGGGTGCCCTTTGAAGTTCTCCTTTTTTTTTTGGGTTCTGTTCATAGCTAGTGGAGGGCTGCAAAAACAAAGTTTTAGTTTTAGTATTGCCAGAACTTGATGTTGGATTGCCAGGACTTGGATTAGTATTTCTAGTGCTTAAGCTTGACTAGTGCCAGTACTTCGTTTATTAGGTAGTGCCTAGTCTAAACTTAGTGTTGCCAAGACCTACCCTCCCCTCCGCTAACATAGCATCTGTGGGAGGGTACCTGAAGATCATGTTCCTCTTGTAGGGGCCCCCTGTCAGGTGCCATGTTGGTGGGAGTGAGGGTACTCTCAAATTCGCAGTGCTTGCTTTAGCATTGGCATGTCTAGAATTTGGAGTCCCCGAATTTAATTTTCACTGCTGGGCCTGAGCCAGAAAGCTGATAGGCGTAATCAGTTGTCCCGATTATGCATCTTCCTGGGAAAAGACAAATGATTTGCAAGATTTCATTTTCCTTGGAAAGCTCCTGTCCAGATTGTGATTTTTCGGAGTTTTAAGTTGACGTAAACGATGACCCCCAAACAGCGGGAGGGATCATATGTAAGCCGAGGAGACTTGACATACTTCAGGGTCCCGATACTAACATGGTTGTTGTTGGGAAACATTTTACATGTATGCTTATTGTGGCTTAGTGGGAAACCCCCACTTGACTGCTAAAATTTAAATGTTTGCTCCCCTTCCAACGTCAACCTTATTAAACCAGTTGCCACATGGTTGGATTCTTTGGTTTGGTCTTTTCACCCGGAGCCATCCGAACCGGTGTTTTCCTCGCAAGTTGTGCAAAGTCAAGCCCAAGGTCCAGATTTGCCAGATTTGTGTCCGGAAGTTTGCGAATTACCATTTGGCCATGGGTCATAACCTATGCCGAGCCATTTTAGGGCGGATGAACACCCATGTGCCACCTATTTTGATGTTCACCAGGTTTCCCGGGTTTGACCCACAACCATTTTCAGAAAAAGTGTGTGTTAAAAGCCATCTTTGCGAGCTACGGGGCAGAAATAGCAGGCGAACAAAGAATGCCGACCTCCTGCGGGCATTTTGTAGGAGCGCCACTTTTTCCCTTTCAGTCATCGTGAGGAAAGGGCCTTGTACATAGGTGTCCTTTTTGGATGGTTTGCTTAAAATATAGAGGGCCCTCGTTTAGATGGTTTATTCCATTTACCAGGGCCATCTTCTCCAAAAGGCCACCTATGGCCTTGGAAGGAAGCCCGGTTTGTTTTGTTTCAAGGCCTTTCGAGCTGCGCCGAGGTCCTTGGTTGCAGAAGGGCGTGCCTCGGCATGGGTTTTAGTTTTAGCCGTATTGGCTTAGGTTGCCCCCAATTGGTGGTTTGGAGGGGTGGTTTGGGAGATGAACGTTTGCATGTTTGTTTGAAGGGGGGCTTGAAGGGAAGGACCCCTTTTGGGGGTCCACATGCCCAGATTGGGGAGGGGGTCCCGACAAGGATTTGTCCGGGCGCTTCGGGCCAGCAGTGGCATGACTAGCTCGCCCAAGTGCTGAGGAGCACTTTCTGAACCAAGACGACTTCCTGGCCTTCTCGCACCGCCTGAACCTCATGACCTTCCAGGCCCTCGAGGACGCGCCTCTGCGAAAGTGGGGGCTCAAAAATTGCGTTTTCTTTCAAGGGGTTGTGGGCACCGGCTGGAACACGAGTGGGGTCTAGACTCCGAAAACAAACATGGGCTCCAAGCCTTTTCCAACTGAAGGGTCATGGGAAGGGGTGAGGCACACTCATGGGTAAGAGGAAGAGACGAAGTTGTTCAGACATTGGCCGTTGCCAGACTTGACTCACCTTTGGACTGTTTGCCCTGTGTGGTTTCCATCATTGTCTCATAAACACGCAAAAAGTCAAACTTCTTCCCATGGGCTAAGTTTGAACAAGATGTATATCCACTGGGTAATGTGACAATAATGTGTGTGTGTGTGTGTGCATTTGTTTGTTTGTTTGTTTGTTTGTTTGTTTGTTTGTTTGTCTGTCTGTTTGTTTGTTTGTTTGTCTGTCTGTCTGTTTGTCTTTCTGGTCATCATTTTTATGTCATTTGGCTCCTATGGCTGCTTTCCCTGTTGTGAAACGCGGTCCTGCTATTTCCTATCTGTGAACATCATGTGTCCAAGGTAGTTTTAGAAGAGCTCGCTTTTGGGATCGGCTTGTCAGCTGTACTTCTGGGCAGGGGGCACTTTTGGAGCCCCTGGAATGGCCATCAGGTTGACCTAGGATACATCGCCCTCTGGTCGATCTTTGTTTTGTCCTCTAGATCCGCTGGTATTTGGGTGACATCTTCATTTAAGGGACCTTGTTGGGCCAGGCCCTTGTTTGAGCCATAGTTTGCTCTTGCCAAAGCCGACCGTTAAAGCTTTTGGCGTCCCTGACTCGGTCCATATTCAGTCATGGCTCCCAAAGTTTAGCCTTTTGTTTTCGGGTTTTTCGGGCAAGTGAGTTTAACGCATTGTTTGAATGACCTTCTCACTTCCTGTGTTCATGGGCTTTAGTGACTTTGGAAGACCATGTTAGCGGACAACAGTTTGGGGCTTCATTTTTGGGCCAACTCGATCGGAAGTGAGCCCTTTACTTTCCTGCCCATGGGCGGCCATGGCCTGATTTAAAGAGAGTCCTTACAATCCGAGACACCATCTTTTCTTTCCTCCCCTCCGAGGCAGACTCATCTATGACTGGAAGTACAAATTGGCCCCACATTCCCAGGAACCAAACCTGCCGGCCCCCCGGCCGGCCCCAGTTCTGACCAAACCGGCCACCGACCGCTTCGCCCAAAACGCGCGGGAGACCCCTGGGCTTCGAACTCGAGGCCCCGGGGGACCGGAAGCCGGTGCTGGTCCTGGCCGCGGCCGGCCTCGCGGACGCCGAACACCGGCAGCCGCGCGCCGGCATCGCCCAGGCGCGCGGAGCGGGTCGCGCCCAGCGGCGGGTCGGGCGCGCTCGGGTCGAGTCGGGCGGGGGTCCGGTCGAGCAACGGGTCCCGTGGAGCACCACAACCACGGACTTCTTGGGTTCGGTGGTGTTGGGGAAGAGGTGCAGTAAAGTAGGGAACTGAACACCAGAACTTGTTGTTTTTCTTTAAAACATTGGAAAACACATATCTTTTAGGTTGGTGCACCCCTTTTCCTTAAAAAGAAAAAACAACACCAACACATATTTTTGAAGTTGGTGTATGCCAGGGTTGGGACAAGAAGTCTTTGCCGATGTGAGTACTATGACTTTTTTGGGGGCTGTGGCACTGGCCCCTACTTATATACTAGCCACTATTGGGGTGAATGTGCATTTGGCGCAGAAATATTCTTTACAAGCATGTTGTTTTGGGGTTTGAACCGTAGAGGGCATTTGGGCAACCCTCGCTTATTCGACCTTTGACCTTTCGGTTTCCCTGAATTGGTCCATATGTTGTCAAGGTTCCAAAAGGTGAACGTTGTATCTTTGGTTTCTCTGGCACTTTCCATGGCAACACGGACTGGATGAATGGAAGAACCAAACACCACCAGCACCCTTCCATGGCTGCTTGGACCGCACTTTCGATTTTGGACCACCTATCAGAATCCTACTGCCAGAACCATCTCTTAACCATGAACACATTTGGCCATGCATTTGAAGAAGGAACCCCCTGAAAAGTGGGTGGTGGACATAAACCCCACCGAATTCTGATGTCCACCATTCCCTAATTAAAACTCATGCCCAGTTGAGACGTGTCCACGCCACAAACACATTCGCAGGCGCTGAAGACCTGGCGCTCCATGTGGTCCGGGTACTTCGAGGCGAATGCGACGGCAGAACCAGCGCGGGGGGGGTTGAGGGCTTGAGGGCTTGAGAAGATTTGAGGGGTTTCGTTTATATCTTGTTTTTTCTCTTTTGTTTCGTTTTTTTTTGGGGGGTGCTGAGCCAGCTAGACTTCAGGTGCCCGAAAGGCAACTGGCAGTCTTGTAGAACACGTTTTGGCCATGTGACCATGTGTAGTGGGGAGTTCACTTTGTGCGAAGGGAGCCAATTCGCCAATTCCTTCGAGTTGGCTCCATCCCTTGGGTTTGATTCTTTTCGGGTTGGGCTCTCCTTCCAAAAAGGGCATGCTCCAACTGATTGTTTCTGGGTGGAGTTGACAAATCCCGAGCCCGAATCTTTAGGGGAATATTTTGGGTTTGCTCGAGTTCCCTTGGTTCTTCCCTCCCTTTCTCTTGGCTTTCTCTTGGCTTTCCCTTGGCTTTTTTTGGGGTTTCCCTTGTGCTCCTTGCCGGTTTCAGGCGGTGGTTGTGGCCTGCGGTGATGCATCCACCGCCACCATCATCGACCGCGCGGTGAACACCGCCCCTTGAAGAAACGGATTCGAGCGCCATTGTAGGCTGCATTTGCAAGGCGATTAAGTTCCAACGAACCTGCCAACCCAACAAAAACCAGGTTGGATCTTTGATGTCTTTTCCGGTTGCAAATGCTATGCTTTGAAGTCAATCGGGAGTTCGGTTGTTTGATGGCAAAAGATACCCACAGAATCAACTCTTGGGAGTGTCTCTTTTTGCGGTTGGCAGCCGTTTGCGGGCGCTAAAAACCAGAAAGCCAAAAGGGAACTCGTCATGTTTTTGTTCTTTCAGGGGCTCCTTATGACACGCTGCCGAGCCCCAATGTCTTGAAGGAGTGTATTGCCCAGGTTCCGTCGGGAAAGAACCTGTTTCTGAAAGCCATTCTGGTGGGAGGGAGGGGGCGACAATGAGCTGGCCCGAATGGCTTGCTGTGCTTTGTGACCGAATAGGGCTTAAAACCAGCTCAGAATGATGTTGTTACTGTACTTGGGGGTTTTAGTGTAGAATTTGCAGTTTGTGATTCTGAGTTGCGATGGCTTGTGCAGGGACTTGCCCGCGCAGGGCTCTGAACTTGATTTGTCGCAGTTGGGTTTGGTTCAGCCTGACTTCCTGGCTTTCCGTCAGATCAGCCCAGCAGTCCACATCAATCTGAGACAGGGAAATGTATACATTAGTCGGCAGCTTGCGAGCTAACCACGACTTGACTTTCCAGCGGCTTTGCAACAAATCGGGTCTGCAGCAAGCTCACCCAAGATGCTGGTCCCTCACTAGTGGAGCCATGTGCTTGCAAAAGATTGACACTTGCCCAGAATCAGCCTGTGTTTCTTCCTTGGTTCAACCCCGGGAGTTCCGGATGGAGTTCTTTCTCCGTGCCTCACGTTGAACACGCTTCGCCGTTTTTTCCGGACCGGGGCGTTCCTTTGGCTCGAGGATATCTATATGAAGGCACGGGGATCGACTCCGAGTCGATTTGTTGTCGATCTCCGAAGGGGCTCGCGATCTCGAAGAGGCTGATCCAAAGAGACTGGAACGCGTAGGCATGATTATCTATATGCATATCTAGTCTTTCTTTCATTCTTTTTTGGGGGGGAAATGAAAGAGCAGGGTGGGAGGCGAGAGGTGGCAGAGTGAGAGGTGGGAGGTGGGATTGAGCGTGAGGTGGGAAGTGGGGAAAAGGTTTCTACCTGCATTCCCTTCATTCAGGTTGCTGGCGTGTTGCAAGTCACTCAGACGCGCTGGTTGATTTAGCTTTGCTCCGGTTGCTCGCAGTTGCGGGATGTGCCGCCAAATCCTTATACCAGGGGCGCCATGGTTGACCTGGTTGGTTCACAATTTGCCAGGGCCTTTATTATCCCTAACGAACACCTATGCGAATCCCGGTTATCCCAACTCCGAACCTGTAATTAGTGGGATACCACTAATTGGGGTTGGAAGCGCAAAGACCCCTTGAAACTGGCTTTTGGAAAGCCAGCTTGCACCCTCTTTCCAAGAATCATGGGGCTGAACAGGGGGCTTCCCCACAAGGAAAGCAGTGATAACAAACAAAACCCTGCTGTCAGCTTCCATGATTGTGGGAGGGAGGGTAACTGCTCCTAGAAAACCATCGACCTTGAACCACACACACCTTGGGAGCTTTGCCGAGAGCGTGCCCAAAGCCCGGTAGAAAGTTACTCGTATCGGCACCATGGGAAACCATGTAGGCCTGCTATACTTGCTGGTTCCCAGCCATCTCCTTAGGTTTTTAGTTGTTATTTTGGTGGTTTGGTGGTAGGTTCCGTTTAGCTCACTAAGAGTTAAGCTTTTAGCGGGGGACCTGACAACCCAGTATAAATGGCAGTCCTGGATCCAGCTTGGACATATTTTTTCAGTAGTGGTCCAGGTTTCAGTCAAGCTCCCAAACGGTGATTGGCCTTTCCTGCGAAGCCCTCCCCAAACATGAGTGCGCAGGCCGTGTTCCAAGTGGAGCGTCTTTCAAAATGCGGCCCGTTCAGTTTCATGTTTGTTGGTCACTGTTTGTTTCGTCCAGTGCTCTTTGCCTTTGCCGACAGCTGGCCTCGAAGAGGCTCTTGAGGTTTGTACCTGTAGGGGAGGAGTGGGGGCCAGCATTGGCTTTCAGCTTTCTCAAGCTTGCGCTGTTCAGTTTTTGGTGGGGGTTGCCAACTTGATCATGTTGTTTGGTTTTTTAGGTGTTTCCCAGGCACCTCTACAAGCTGGCGGGCTGCAAAGAACACAATGTTTTTGGCAAACATGCTACGAATTGAACAAAGGTAGCGGCGTCCTCGCAAAATGAAGCGTGTCAGGGAGGATTTCCTTCATTCAGGGGACCCGATCGACACTTTGGAGTAAAAGGAAAACCATGCAATGCGCCTGGCGTCCGGAAGGAGCCCATTTGTAGGAACCTATGTGCCAGAGCACATTCAGGGTCATCCAGAGAACATGGGTGTGGTATTTTGCATCAGGGTTGTGTTCCTTTTGTTCTTCCTCTAAACCGGCAAGAATGGTGGCATTCTCGAGGAAAACACCCATGTTGCCCCTCACGAAGTTTGGCTTTAACCGTCCCAAAAGTCGTGCAGGGCCCGCTTTAAAGGAGATCCCAGGGCCCAGGATACAAGAAGACCCAAGAGGTTGCATGGACCCTCAAGGTGCTTGCCAAGAGTCTTATCTTTTTTTTTCTCGGGTATTCTAAGGGTGTTTTGGAGCAACCTTGTTACAGTGAGGTTCCTTTTCTTGCTGATGCCCAGTAGGGGAAGACAAGGAGTCCCGTGTGTTGGAAATGAACCGGTTTTGAGGCTTCCCTTACAGGAAACCACAAGGGATTGTTTTTTTGGGTCATTCCCTCATTTCCGGCTGAGCAATTTATATCTTCTTCTGGCTTTCCAAATGGATGTTGTTTTGATTCGGGTTTTCCATAAATGGGCGAGTCTTGCGGAAAGGCGCGCCCAAATCCCAATTGCCCACCACACATGTCGAGGTCTTGCAGAACTTGCCGGTCTTGCCGAGCGGGCGCGAGTGGCACTGGAACGTTGCCGCTCGTTTGGGTTGTTGGTTGGGTTGGGTCGGGTTGTTGGTTGGCTGCCTGGTGTCTTGTTTGCTTTCTCTATGTTGGGTGTGTGTGTGTGTGTGTGTGTGCGTGCGTGCGTGCGTGCGTGCGTGCGTGCGTGCGTGCGTGCGTGCGTGCGTGCGTGCGTGCGTGCGTGTGTGTGTGTGTGTGTGTGTGTGTGTGTGTGTGTGTGTGTGTGTGTGTGTGTGTGTGTGTGTGGTTGTGTTTGTGTGCATGTGTTTTTCCGTTGTTCAACAAATATATGTCATGACAAATGTATATCATGGCTATTTCTGCCGTTCGTTCTTTATTAATGTTGTGTTTTGTTTGTTTTTTGTTTATTCCGCTATTTATATATTTATTTGTGTCTTCCCTTCTTTCATATTGGTTCTTTATTTGTTTAATTAGTCTCTATTTGTTGCGTTATTTAGTTGTTTCTTTTGTTCTTTCTTCATATCTCTATTTCTGTCTTGATTTCGTTCTTTATCGATTTATTATTTCTTTACTTGTTTGTTCATGTATTTATTGATGATTGGGCGAGTTTCTTTCTTATTGTTAGTTATTTAGGTACTTTATGATAACTTATTTGTTCTTTATGTGTGTATTTCTTTCTTTGTTTATGTGTTATTTCTTTCTGTTTGTCTTTCTTTATTTTACTCAGTTGCATGTGCTTTCTTTATTTATCATTCCTATAAGTTGTTCTTTCGCTCTTTCTTTCTTTCTTTCTTGCTTTGTTTCTTTCTTTTTCTTTTATTTCTTGATTGGTTGTTGTTCTTGTTGAAGCCCGTGTAGGTCCCATTCTCGCGCGAGTGGGATGAAAGTAGATGGCGCAATATCCCAATGCTGGTTTAGACATCTCATGCACTTGCCCACATAGACGGAGTTGCCCCATCCACTTCACCATGGTGGAGCTTTTGTCAGGCTCTGAACACGTTTTTTTTTTGATAGACCGGCCTTTCGGCCTTTCGGGTGGGGTGAGAAAGTCCACAAGCCACATGTGCAAAGCACGCGTAAACGGTGGATAGCAAAGCGGGGGTGCCAAAAGTACCCAGTTTTTACCAATCGTTTCGGCTGGGTTCAATTTTTGAAGCAACGAGCGCCTCCCAAACGGCCGAAAAGGCGCCAGTGCCAAGGAGTGCATGCAGCTCTCCTACAACGCGGCACCTTGGACACCGACGTTGGGTTCTGAAGTTTGGCCAGTACTAGAGGCTTCTCTTCCACGTAAACTCCCAGGTACCCTCCCAGGTGCTACGTTTTTGGGAGGAAGGGTTTAAGACTACCCATGCTTTTGTTCACACACGCAACGATCAACGATCGTTCATGCAATCAGTTTCGAGTTCAGGTTTGCGGGGTTTGGTACTCAACGCGCCAGCAGCGGGGTGAACCAGGTTTTTCCCCAATTGCAGGCATGCTTATCTTATCCACAAGGCATTATTATTCCTCTCAAGGGCTTCCATCGTTCTTTCCACAGCAATGCTCTGTCCGTCAGTGTGGCTCTTGGCTTAGTTGTTTCGGTTTCGCATCTGTTCGGGCCCGAAGTGGGAAGCAAGACATTGGGGGAAGCAGCCAAAAAAGTCTAGATGTTAGGTAAAACCAATATCTTTTAGCAGGCTATGGATCAGAATCTGAACATATCCCTCAGTAGGGAACTTGCGAGTGAACCCAGGGATTCCCTTATGAGGGTCATTCCATTTGTCATTCCCTGCTGAGCAGCAGCAAGTTTCGTATACCCCAGATTTGTGCAGCGTGATCCATTGAAGTCCACAAGTCCTGTCAAGCGTCGAGGTCTTCAGCAACATCGGGAGGCGCATGCAAGCCATGCGAGAGGCGGGGCAGAAATCACGCGTTTCCGGGTGGAGGTTGGTGTGGCACGTTGAGAGTTGGAAGTGCGGTATCTCTGGTTTGTTCAGGGATGTTCAGGGGAAGGATGGGAATCGATGATCTTTAGTCTTTTGATGGCTACATGTAAGTTTGTGTTTGTTTATGCTTTCTGTTGGGGTAGTGCATAAGAAGGAACTCAAATGATGATGCGGGCACACCCTTCCCCCCCCCAATAAGTTTCTCTGCGCATGGCCTTATTGAGACCTAGGGAGCGGTTTTAGGGCACGTGGTTGGCCCCTGGCAACCCCTCGGTTCAGAAATTCTGCCTATCTTATAGCGAGCTCAGCGATTCGGGGGTCACCATGATAAAGATCCTTTGGGGATCCGATTCTGAACTCAGCTTTTGGAGTTATAGCAACATGTGCTCATAAATCTCACCCATTGCCAGTGACAAGGCTTCCCATCAAGCAAAAGCCGGACTCATGGGACGCAACAATCGAACACTATGGTCATGTACCGTACCATTCGCGGCCAAAAATGGGCAGAACTCCTGGGAAGCGAAAACATCGCCTCCAACAGGCGGCTCTTGTCAAGTTTGCCACTGACTTTTTGAGGACTTGATCGTTTTGGGAAGATGGTGACAAACAGTGGAGTCAAGAAACATGAACCATACGCCAAACCTTTTAAGAAGTAACATCAACCAGAAGCCAAACCTTCCACCCATTCTAAACCGACCCTGAGCCACAACCACCCGGAGCCTCGCCTCGGGACTCTCGGGAGCCTCGCCAAGCCGCGCGGCGAGGTGGTGCCGGGCAGCGCGCTGAAGAGCTCCGACAGCGGGCGCCCGGAGAAGAAGCTGGGCCGCCGGGCCTCCGGGGCCGGGCTCATGTTCCTCACCGAGGCGAGAACGGGGCGAGGACGGGGAGGACGGGGAGGACGGCGGGAGGGAGGAAAGCGCCGATTTTTTTGCAGGCGATGGGCTTGGACCAAAGAGAGCCCCTTTTTAAGGGCTCTTTGGGAAAGTTGAACTTTTTGACTTTTGGGGCGGGGGCAATAGCCATCAAGTGTTCCTTCGAGCGCAAACGCCGGAGGAGGGCGGGAGTTATTGGAACCCAGAACCAAGCAGAACCTCTGCAAGTATTTCGTAAGAACCTTGCCGGGGTGAGTGGATACCTGGGGGGGCTACTGTTCCTCACCAAGGCGTGCGTCTAACTCTGCCTGCGAGCGCACCGGACAAAGTCCCTTTACTCACTGAGTCATTGGAAGATCCAGCGAAAAGCAAATGGAAGAACAATCATAACGTCACTTATTGGAATTATTGGCGCGTCATCAGGGGTGGGGAGTTCCATGATGAAGTGCTATGTGTACCCCATTTTGACACATGCCCCTTCAAACAAAAACAACGTGTTAGGCCCTAGGCTTGCAACAGTTGTTCACTTGCCCCGCCCCCCCCCCCCAAAAAAAAAAAAAAAGGCAAGGAAAAAAAGAAAGAGCAACAACATAACAATAATTAGAACAACACACAACCAAATCATGTGGCTGCCGACCGCAAGGTTCATGTTGCATTTGCGTAGTTTTCAGCGGGCTGCAAGGAACTCAGCGAACAAAGTAGTGTCAGCTCATTGGTCTTTCACCTTTCCCCTGGGAACGGAATCTCTTGAGAACCCCCCCCCCCCCCCATTTTGGGGTCCCTTCCGTTCATTTGCAGGGTTTCTTTCCAACATTTTCCAAGAATCACAGGGCTCTCTCTGCATATGAGAGATATCCAATGCAGAGCCCCCAGAAGGCCAAAAAATCATCAAACATCGGCATCGTGGCCTTCCAAGAGCCCCACGCAGCTCCATTCCGAGGGCAACTCCTCCAGCCGTGGTTGGCATCTAGGCCCTGTTTGGTTGGCAGTTTTTTTTGTTGAAGGACCACCCCTCCAAGCCCAAGCTACAAGGCCTTGTTGGGAATGGTTTTTGTTTGTCCTTTTTTTTTGAGGGATCCTTTCGGGGGTTGTGTTGAGGGGGGAACCAGAAAGAGACCATTTTAGGCGTCCGCCTATGTTGACACAAAGCCGCTTTGAACTTGTAAATTCCCCGACCTAAGCAAGCGGGTCCAAAATCGAAAAGGCGGGCAACTGCCCTAAACCCTGACCCCAACCACCAATTGGAGGGTAACTAATTACTCAAGTGGGTCCCAAACAAGATAAGTAGCATACAACCTCCACACCTCCAGCAACATCCACAATCCCAAAATGCCCTGCACACAAAGAACGACGGGGACACCTTGCGCACCTTGCCGCACCCCGCAACCTTTTTTTTGGGGGGGTTTTCCCCCGTCGCCGCGGGTCGGCGGCCGCGTGGGGCTTTCTCGGCGCGCGTTTTTCGCGCGCTCGAATTTTTTTTGTCGCGAGGCGATGTCGGAGAACCAGCGCCCGGCGGGGGCGGTGCTCTCCAACTCCGCGTCGCGGGCCTCCGCGCCTCGAAGCCGAGCGTCGGAGGGTTTGGGTTTTGGGGGGCAGGTGGACCCCAGGTGGGGCAAGCCGCAGGTTTTGGACTTGGTTGCAATTTTCCAAGGTGCCATTTTGGGCACCAGTTTTTTGAGCCCACAGCCATATGGCGATGAGTTTTCATGGTTGGAACCCCCTGAAAAGTGGTTGGTGGACATACATCCCAAAATGATGTCCACTATTCCAATCCCCCTAATTCAACAATAATACCCATATTCATCGAAGCCAGTATGGTGGTTGTTTTCTTGACTGCGCTTTAAATCCAACCAAAAGGGGGTATGCTCAAAAAGTGAGACACCCATGTTGAATTTTAACCGATTCATTTGCGCAAGTTCCTAGAATGGAAAGCTTAATCTCCCTGAGTTTAGTGGGGAATCAGGCCACTTTTGGAGGGCCCCCTACCCCCACCCCCAATTGATAAATCTGGGGTCAACGTTGCGTCCCTCAAGAACCTTTTGGCGGGTTCCATGTGAGTGGGCCGTCTTTGGAAAGACACCGATGGTGGAGTTCGACCTCTGGATGTAATGGTTCCATTCTCCCTTTTGTGGGGGACCTGTTTAGGGGGAAAACTATGAAAACTCGGGTAGTTGGAGGGTAGCAGACACTCCCAGCCAGTTGCGGGTCCGCCTGTTCAATTCCAGTCTGGGCAGACCATTTCAACACCAAGTTGTTTTGACTCAAGGGCTCAATGTTAGCTTTGCCCCGTGTTTTAGACCATTGACGCACCTGGGGTTAATATAGCCACCAGTATGCGCCCTTCCAGCAGCTTGGTTCTGCGAGTTCAGGCTTGAACTGGGGGCACGCTCCGGTTTCTGAAGGTATGGATGCTCAAGCATGGTGGCATATGGGTAGCATATGCGTGGTGTCATGGGTGCATGGGTTGTTTACTGTCGAATCCCTGGGTCGGAATGGCATGGGGCTCAATTTGCTAGGTATTTGCATGTGCTTGCAGTGGGGTTATGTGAATGTATTACCAAAAGGGAGTTGCAACCCAACCAGCTATGGTTGTGGCAAATCATGACTTCGGCCAGGATACCAAGAACATATTCCCCTTTAAAGATAAACATCTATTTGCTTAAGCGCTTTGGTAACACAACTTCAGTAGTGAATAAATTCCCTTCAGAACCAACATGACAGCAAAGACCACCTGCAACATGGGTTTCGGTTTCCATTGAAACAAGTGACTAAGAACAAACCCACCGGATAAAACTCACAGCCTGGGTATTGCTGAGTAACAAGGGTGCCCTGAACCATGGTTTATGCATGGCCATGTGACTGATGTTCAAGGGCACCCTACTTCGCAGCTCTTGGTATGTTGTTCGTTGTCGCTTGTCTGGTTTGATTCACGTTGTTTGCTAGGCTGCCCAAAAGCCGCAACTGATGCTTTGTTTGCTAAGGGTTGGGAAGACCGAGGCCTGCCAAATGCTCCCTAACCACCCAAGGGTTCCATTATTTATATATATATATATATATTGGCTGGCAGGGAGGTGCCCTTTTTGGCAAAAGAGCTGTGACAGGAGCACACCCTTTTACTCCGGTGAGCCTCGCTCAGGTCAGTGACCCCTGTAAGTCCCCAAGGTCAGGGGTTTGGGGTTCAGATTGAGCAAAACCTCGCCGACCTTCGCGCCCTCGAGTTGGTGGCGGACGACAAGAGCGACATGGAGTCTACCGGCGGTGCACGGAATTTTGGCCGCCCGATGGGTACGAGTGGGCAACATATGTTGAAACAACCAGACCCGGATATCCTTCAAAGAGAAGCACAACAATTTGGGTGCGCATGTTTTGTGGCTTGAACGCCAGACAAAACGGGGGTGGGCGCGCAGGTGGGCGGGTGGGCGGGTGGGTGGACTTTGTCTTGGTCCTGGTGGGGTTTTGTGTGAGAGGGTTGAATTCAGTGTTTTTTTGTTTTTTTTTTGGGGGGGGGGTTTCATCACTACCACGGCGCTTCGATTTGGTCGACCTATGCCCAAGAGAGAGAGAGAGAGAGAGAGAGAGAGAGAGAGAGAGAGAGAGAGAGAGAGAGAGAGAGAGAGAGAGAGAGAGAGAGAGAGAGAGAGAGAGAGAGAGATAGAGAGAGAGAGAGAGAGAGAGAGAGAGAGAGAGCGAGAGCGAGAGGGAGGGAGGGAGGGAGGGAGGGAGGGAGGGAGGGAGGGAGGGAGGGAGGGGGGGGTACTAAACACAATTTAGTCTGGGTGTTCTTGATTCCCTCCGATTTTGAGCAACCGAGTTGCAAGAGGTTGAACGATTTACCCGGTGTCATTTGCTCAATAGCATTTTGTTTTTTCCCTCGTTGGTGTTAAAGGGAATTTATCACTGCTTCAATATGTTTATTTTCCCAGGAGTCTTAAGCACATGGATGGTGCACACCCTTTTAATGGCGCCAATACGACATGAGCCATACGCCGATGAGTCAAATATCAACGAACACATTACCGCAAGCCCGTGCGGTATACCCCCAAAGCTTTTGGCTGGGAAATGGTCGAATCACCCACGTCTTGGGCTTAGTGGGGTGCCTTTTCAGCATTGGACTTCGCTTTCCTATAAGGAAAAGGCGTTGCTTGGCCGGCTTGCCTGGTTGGTGTTCCTTCAAGAGGTAAGTTGTTTGCCAAGGAGTCTAAGCTTGAACTATGGGACCTTTGGCAATCATAGGGGCTTCGGAGCTTCTGCGGGGCTCCTTTGAAGTACTTCCAGGGTTGCTGGCCGAATTGGAAAACGACGCCGGACTAGGTGAACCAATACATCCAAGATGTTGGTGGACACCGTCAATCCACGTAAATGATGTCCATCAAATGGGGATCGCGTGAGAACTCATACCCATGAGCCACAATCAAAACCCGTGAAGGGAAATAAACCAGAAAGAGCTGCAGACATTCGCTTCCTTCGGGTTACGCACGGCGCGAGCGCCTCAAACGGTTCCGAGCTGAGGTAGGTCGCTGACCACGTGGCCCGGCACATTTGGAGTTAAGGTTTTGTTCGGGCGGTCGGGAAGATTGTGGCACCCTCAGCAGTTTTTTTTGGTTTCGTGAAGCGACCGAAAGGGAATCTCCCCGCAAATTCGTTGGTTCCAAGGCTCACTTGATGAGTTCCTGGACTTTAGTCACAAAATGGAAGACAATTTTAGTGGCAAATGAGGAGTTTGAACTTTCTTGGGCCAAGGCACCCGATCTTCAGTTTTGCCTTGTTGGTGCCTTTTGCAAAGCCAATGGCGTCAGGCATTCTTCTCCAGGGTTGTGGAATCAAGGGGTTTCTTCCCACTTCTGTGGTACAAGGAAATCTCCCCTTGAAAAAGGGGTGGTAGTCGTTGGGGTTAGGCCCTGTTTGTTGTATGACAGAAGTGGGTTCCATTTCCCAGAACCCTGTTCTTCTCGGTCCGACATGGTTTTTCCCCTCCGCTCAAGCCTCTCAAGCCGGCGACTCTTAGAAGGCAAGTCTTTGGTTTTCAGCCATGCAGGTTCCCTTAAAAAAGGTCCCCACTTGGCAGCTAAAACTTGATTTTTTGCTCCCCTTCCAACGCCAATCAAGACTCAAACCAGGGACACCAAAATATGAATAAGCAAGGGTTAATGCTTCAACGCCACATTTGGTCATGAGAATAATTTGTGACACAGTTACAAATTTGTACTGGCCCTGAAATTACTTCTCAGAGCCTCTGTGGTTTCAAGTTTGTTATTTTCCCTTGTTGGATTTAAAGGGCGAGTATGTTTGCTTGTTTTTTGTGTGTTTTTCGAGGGGACGCATTCGCAAATGGAGGGTTTACTGGATATCCGGAGCAAGCCAATCATGCAAGGCGCACGGATGTGATGGACCGCTCATTGAGCTCCGCAAACATCTCTGTGACGATGCTTGCCTGAAATACTGTGGATAGCTGGCGCAATCCATTTTGCAGCACCGTTCAGAAACCCATCGGCGACTCATTCCCCAATGTAAATACCAAGAAAGCTTATGGTTTCAAGGTGGCACAGTATGGTTGTCTATTTATGAAGACGCCCCCCGGAAGCTGAGTTTTCCCTTTGGCTTCATTTGAAAACAAACCCAACTAGAGATACCAACTCAAAAAGAAGACACCCACATGGAAAAATCAGCCATCTGTTTCGTGGTCTGTTTCGTAAGGGTCCTAGCGTCAACGTGTAACCTCTGGAGATTTGAAGGTAGGGGTGCAACGCGAATCTTGAGGCTCGAGGGGTCTGGTTTTTGGATTTTTGGAGGTGCCATATGTGCCCCATGTAGGTGACTGAGACGGGCACTGAACCACCTAACAGCAAACATGCCATTGTAAATAGACCCATTTTGGTCTTTCCGGCCAGGCTTGCTAGAGGATTCCAACGTGCCAAGGGGCACTTACGTTACGTATGTTACCGTATGTTCCGAGCAGTCCAACGCGATCTTTTGCCTGTTGCTCCAAGATACCCGCTAGGGTTGTTTGGGAAACCCTCGCAAACGGACAACCAAGAGTTAATGGAAAGCCTTGAGAAGTGTCACAGAAGTGGGGACCCTATATCAGTCATATTCTCAGCCACGAAACCAAGCCACGAGTTGGAAGGCTGGCTGTCCTTAGCTGAGGATGGGCTCTATGCAGACCACTGGCGGGCACAGCCGCGGCGGGCGCAGGCGTGCTTCGATTTTCTTCGTTCTGTTTGGCAGATGAAGGTCTGTCGGGCACACTGGTTCTGGTTGGAGGCTAAGCATTTGCTTGTAATTGTTGTGATTCTGCTGGGTTTCTTTTCCTTGCTCTTTCGGTTTTATTTGTTTTTTCCGGCCGAGGAGGGAGGGGTGAGAAGATGTGTGTATTTGTGTGTGTGTGTGTTAGTTCACCTCTGGATCCCTTTTTGTCTGGTGGGTCCGGGGCACATCTCAAAACTCCCCTGCAAAACAAGAGAAGAACCCAAAAGGGAGTTCCCAGAAGGCTTTTACCTTTTTCATCGTGTCACATGCATGCGAGTAATTCCATGGCCTCGATCAGAATGGCGTTGTGGGAACTTCAAACCCGATTCAGTCGTGCTCACAAGAGAAGAACGTGTATAATCATTTCACCGGAGGGTCGCCACCCATTTGGAAGAGGGAAAGGGGAAAGAGGTCAAGGGCGAAATACACCCCAGGAGGTATTTGGGTATCTTTTTTTCGGGGAACTCCAGACTGGCGGGTGTCCTTGTGGTTTCCCTTCAAAACCACACAAGTTAAGGCACCATTTCAAGATAACCACCCATTTCGCCCTCACCATTTTTGGGAAATGGACCGCTGACCCCTTAACCTTTCTTCAATTTTCTTCCGTGGGTGTGCAAGGCGTCGTTGTTTTTCTTCCATTTTTGTGCGTGGGCTTGTAGGGCCCGGTCTCTTTTGGTTTCCCGAAAGCCGCCCGAAAACCCGCCCGCCCTTCTTGCGGCTGATTCAGCGCCTCGCGCCAGGGCCTCCTTGGCGGTGGGCAAGGACGGCTTGCCGGAGGACAGCCGCGCGCTCATGGAGCGCCACGCGCCTCGGCGGATCCTTCGGTGATCCTTCGGAGCCTTCAGAGCATTCGGATCGTCCGTGGGACGTTCGGATCGCTCGGCTTTGCGTGTTGGATCTAAGAGGTCCCAACCATCAGATTGCCCTTAGTTGGAGGTTTGGATTGGTTTGGATTGGGATTTGAACCCCTGGTTCTTGTAGAGGGGTAGAGGGTAGGGTTTTTACTTGATGTACCCTACCTCCATTTTCTGAAATGAATAGGTTCAACGATTCCTATGACATTCCTCTCACTTAGCGAATCGACTGGATCTCAACTTTTTGCCCCGGATGCAAAACGGGTTCCCACTCTTCGCCCCAAAAGGTGAGCACTTTGTATTTCGTCCCAGGGCAACTGAGTTGGTGGAAAATAGGGTGTTATGGGACTTGCTTGAGTTTTCCCAAGAATCAATGAACGGTTTAAAAGGGCCTTCATGAGTTGGTCAACCCCCCCATTTTGGAAGAGCTGCTGGACTTGTTCTTTCTTGGGTTGTTCAATCAATGGTGCAGTTGCCTTTAACGTGCTATAGGGCTTATGATTCAAACGGGGGTTGAGGGGTGGTGTAGTAGTTGCCTGATCTCGATGCACTCGCCGACCGGCGTCAATCATCAGGCGGCACAGGGTCAAACAAAGTCCTATCGGTGGTGACAAGATCGGGCACCGTCATTGCGGGGGGAAAAAGGCTGTTGTCCGTGAAGCACGTGAAGTGCTCATTTCATCCCACCTGTTTCGGAGAATATGCTTTCGACACTCTCAAATATGTGTCTTTGTCGGCGAAGCCATGGTCTACGGTCATCACAAGGCTTGGCCCTAGGTTGGGACTCCCCTCCCCAAGGCATAAGCACGGTCCTGGTGTCTCTTGAGTCACGGCATGCCTTTTGTATCCCAGGCCACCAGGCGCTTCTGGAGGACGAGCTTCTTCAAACGAACCAAAAGTTTCAAGTTCCTTTCCCAGGGGTTTGGACAGGAGCCCCAAAAGTTCGGTTCCTCTTCTTCTTCTTTTTTTTGTTTTGAACATCGGTTCCTCTTCCTTCTTTTTTTTTTTGGGGGGGGGGTGTGGTTTTTAAACATCAAAGTGTTGGCGCCAATATCAGGTAAGTTTCCCTTTGGGGAGGTACTCGTATGGGGAACTTTGTTGGAAGAGACAGCAATCGAGCAAAAGGGGCGTCAACAGGCACCCTCTCGGTTTCTCCATCGGGTGGTTCTAAGACCGTCTCCACTACTTCAAGGGAAAGCATTGTGTGTACCCTTTGTATGCTTGCTATGCAGTTCGGCTCATGTCTAGGTCCATTTATGTGGATCTCAAAAGTACATCTGTTTGTTTGTTGCTGTTTTGGATTGGTTTCTTCCAAGCCACGATTTAGAGGCAATTGTCCGGATGCCACCGTAATGCCCCAGTCTATCCCACATGAAGCGCGGTCAGAATTTACGGAGAAGGAAAGTAGTCTACACTTGGACATCCACATAGCTCAAGGTGCTTGAAACCATGGAAAACGATAGGGGACTTCTTCAAAAAAACGATACCTTTGTGTTAGAAACAAAAAACGCTGGAAAACGATAGGGGGCTCTCCAAACTCGAGCGTGCAAGTTTCCTGCGAAAATTCACCGCCTCTTGACGGAACAAACTTCACCGGCGTTTTTTTTTTTTTTTTTTTTTTTTTTCGACTTCGGCGGCCGCTTCGCGCGGGACTCTGACGGGGCTGGGCTTCGACGCTTCGAGGCGAAGCTGCGGCTGGAGGCCACGGACCATGAGCAAGAGCTCAAGGACCAAGAGGAGAGCCGAACGGGGCGGGGCGGAGCCGCGAGTCGGGAGCATAGCCAGGCATGCGGTGCCTTTGATCTATCGACTTAGCGTTTTAGATCTTGGTTGGACTCGCATGAATGGGGATTTAGTGGGGATTTAGTTCGGGGATTTTGTTGGTGGGGACTTTTAGTGGGGATGTAGCACCTTTAGTGTTTAGTGGTTGGATTTGCATTTAACCCACTAAAAGTTAGTCACTTTTAGAGGGGGATCTGAGGACAGCCCAGTGTTGGCGGAACTTCTTTCATCACCTAAGGGTTAGGAGTCGGGAAAAAGAAGTGACCCACAGTGGCTTGCCATGAAGATCACATATGTCTAGCCTAGCAGTAGCTGACATGCATGGGAGTGTTCGCCCTAAAAGTGTGGAAAGGTTTGCTGTTGGTGCTTACATAGTTCGTGGGGTGAGCCCCAAATGGTCATTCCAACGTGCAAAGGCTTTTTCCGGGGGGTCGGCCATCCACGCGGTGCGCACTCTCGGAGGACAAGAAGAACCAGCAAAAGGTGGCCGAGATCCTGGCCGCGCACACAGACGGGCCACGGGTCCGGTCGCATTTTCGGAGGGGCGGTTGAACTTGCCACCTTTTGGCCCGCGTACGTTTTTTTTTTTTTTGGGGGGGGGGGCGGGGTGGGGCGAGGAAACAGCAGGACCTTTCCACGCCAAAAGGGGAGAGGACTTCAAGGAATGTGCCTTTGAACCCGGCTGTTGTTGGTCGTTTCTGCTTTTGAAGGGTGATTGGTTGCAAAAAGGAGGCCCAAGTCAAGTCTTGGGATTTTGCCTGCGAACCAGCTGCTGCTTGGAGGAAGGACCTTTCAGGGTTTGCAGCTGCCGTGGCTGCCCACCTCCGATGCCATGGTTCCAGAGGTAGCGGGCTTGGGGATGGGCCATGGGCGAGTTCTAGCGAGCTTACCGATTGGGGTAAAGCGAGCGTTGCCACAAGCCCCAGATAGCCCCAGACCGAAAAACACCCAAGCATTTTCTGTTCAGGAATTGCATTTGGCTCTTGGACGTTTCCAGACCAATCTTTTGGCCGGCAAACCGGCCAACGGGGAGACTCGTGGCACAGCGCCGGTTCAGCCCGACTCAGCTCGATTCAGGCCAAGGCGTGGGGAGTGGGCGGCAAGCGGCTGTCAGGCATGATGACCAAGATACAGCGACTCGGCAGGCGATTCGTCGGTGATCCGATGCCGCTACGACATGACTTTCTGTTTCTCCCGAAAGATGGGTTCCCATTTGTAGTGGCCCCAAAAGGTGAAAAGGTGATCACCATGTACTTCTGGGTCCCTAAGGGGTAAATGAGTTGAATGTTGATTGCTAGGGGGGATCCTTCACTTTCTCCCGTTCGAATCGATTATATATAATTTGCGTGTTTGTCTTCAGATTCACGCCCTTCTTTGTTTGCCTGTCATTATCTGCCAAACAGGCCCCCCAGAAGGAAGGAGTTTCCTCTGGACATGGTTGGCTTCCATATTTACCTTGTTGCGCTGGCAATATTGATGGTAGAACGGCTTGGCTCCAACAAGGTCCGCATGGATCCAAAGAGGCAACCAGGTAGGTCATATGGGCCATAACTGTATCTGCCATGATATCATCATGTGCCCATTCTTCTTTTTGTATCCAGGAAGTGCCCAGCCGAATTGGGCTCAACGCGGATCTAGGGTCACTCGCAAGCGTCCACATTGACGGCTGAGTTTGAGGACTGGAAAAGAGGAGGACACGGGGAAGAAGGGGAAGCTCGGGCGGCTGAACGACAAGGCAGGGCACAGGGCCCATAGAGAGAGCCCCCCCCAAGCTCGGTGAAACATGAAGGCGCTTTGCTGAACATTTGGCGGATAAATGGTGCGATAGCCCGGTTCCCTCAGTTGGACTTCTCAACAAGAGGGCCGTTAATGGTTGATCCTGGAACCGTTTCGTGTCTTTAAATGCAGGAAACCAAGAATACGTGGTCTCTTTGAAGTTCAGCCAATCTAGGAAACACACGTATGTGTTGAAATCTATCTGATCGTGAGAACGAGCGAAGCTGGGGAAGACCCTTTGCAGTAGGGTGTTGACGCCCATGTCGAGTCAATCAAACCTCCCAAGTTTCTGGGCGTCATAGTCTCAACCGTCGACTGGTGGGAAGGCATTCCGCCAACACCCCCCCCGCATTTAGAGAAGGTCTGTGGTCCAAAGCGAATCGACCTTTTGACCTTTTGGTTTGCCTTAAGTCGGTCCCTTTTCAGTCATGGTGTCCAAAGGGAACCTTTTAATTCCTGGTCCTTTGGCCAGGAAGGGTTCACAACGGGGTTCCCCACAAAGGAGATTCCTTCAACGAGAAGGCCTTTTGGAACCAGGCAACATTCTGCAGGTTGTGCCTTTCTGCGCTGCAAGGTAGCCATACCTTTGGAATGAAACACTGCAGGCCTGTTTGCCTCTTGGGTGGAAGGGGGTTGGAGGGCATTGGGCAAATTGTACTGCCCTACAGCGGAAGGAACACAAAACAGAAAGAAGTATCCTGGGAAATGACAGCTCAGGGAATGGAAGCAGGGGGGCTGTTCTAAATTGCACGTCTCACTTTGTGAAAAGGCGGTCCAGAAGTGTTTCCGAAGGAAACCCCGGCATCGCGAGAGGCCTTCCACAGAATACGAACACGGACAACAACCACATTGTGTGCGATTGATGTTCTTGTTGTTGGTGGCAAGGTAACATGCAAAAAAAAGAAGAACCGAGAGCCGCACGTGTCGGGTTGGCCACAACCTTGCTGTATGGGCGTTTTTTGAGGGTGCCCGCCTCTCTTGGCGGCTGTGCGGGAGAACTGAAAAGCAACACCACAATTTGGAGCGGGGGGGACCCTTCAAACAAGACACACCCATACACGTGGCTTCTGTGACATCGGCGTCCTTGGGGCACCTTAGCGTAGCTTTGAACCGTAGTGGGGTGACTCTCCCCCTTGGGATGGGCAGTTTCTGTGAGAGCAAACCCGGTGAGCAGATGGATGGATCCAGGCTGCCAAAGAGCAGAAGGAGGAATCCAAGCAGCGCTTGGAGACCATGACGTTGGACAAGAAGCGCCAAATCGATTCCGCCGCCGCCGACGCCTCAGTTTGTTCGCTTCGGTTGAAGCAGCGGGCGGCCGAGTTTTGTTTTTCGAGAGGCCGGAAAGGAGAAGCTGGGCCCCGGTTTTTAGTAGCCTGGTGGTTCCCAGCCATTCCTCCGCTGTTCTTGGCATGTTTTTTGGTTTTTCAGTTTGTTGGTTCTGTTCATTTTTACCGGGGGTCTGCAAAAAACAGTCAGTTTTTTTCGCTACCATGCCAAGGAAGTAGAGATGACATTCAGTTGCTTGTGCTTTTAAGTGAACCCCGAAGAGTGATTTTCACGTTTGGCGCCTGGGGACCTGGCGAGGTAAGGCCTCGAGCCGATGTCGCGATCCACTGCTTTCGTAGCCTGTACCTGTGGGTGGACGAAATGCATTTCGCACCACTTGGCATCCATGAGAAACCATAACGTTTATTGGTATTTACGTTGGGGAACCATCCGAATCCAGGGTTTCTTAGGCGGTGCGAAATGGATCTCGTCCACAGTATGTTGGACTTTGAAGCGGCCGAAGGTTTGAGTTTGGCCATCCTTATGGTTTTAGTAGTGGCCAGGGACGAACCAACCTCATGGCCTAAACATGAGACACACACACACACACACCCCATACAAAATCAACCAGCAGTGCGTGGATCCTGGGGTCCCCTTAGTCATTTGGCTTTTCTCACTCGGTGTTTTCCCATCCGTAAGTGAGCTCAGTCCTACTTGGTAACTTGGATGAAACCTACATGCAAACGGGCACCTTTTCATGTTCGTTGATTTATGGCAAGGTGCCCCACTTCCATTTTGGATCTGCTGACTGGCTGGTACTCACCACAATCCTTGCCCCCACGGACCGAGGCGATCCTGGGGTGCCCCGGGGACCGGGGGGCGAGCGTTCGGATGTGACGAGCGAGTTCGGGGGGTAAAACGAGGTGAGATGAAGGTCTTTGCTGGGCTGCTATTGGGTTGGATCTTTAGACTTTAACTTTTTGGTTGAAACCAAAGGGTTTTCCACTAAACCTCCAAAAAGTTAAACTTTTTGCAGGGGGGTCAACAGCAACCAAGTTTACTGGGCTTGATTGGAGTTGGGTTAGATCTTTATACTCGAGCTGTTCGGTTGAAATCAGGGTGTGTTATTAACCCCACCAAAAGGTTACACTTTGTTGCAGAGGGGTCAACAGCAACCAAGTAGGGGATCCGTGTTTCCGGTTTGTGAGATTCCCGCAATTCTGCCCAGGCTTGTCGATTAGAGAACGAGCCCATGTCAACCTGCAGTAACTGTTCTGTTTTGCCAGACCCCTGTTTAGCACCCACGGTGCCAGGCCGCTTTATGTTTATGCATCTCCGCCCAGGCCCTGTGCATTTCCACACATCTTGGGGATCACTCCCTCGACCCTGCTTCGTGTTTTAGACTTTGAAGTAGGCGTCTGCCTGTGGATCCTTTGGCGGGAAAATTGCAATTTGGGTGTGGGGGTTGGTGCTCAAGAGGTCGGGAGCCGTCACACCTGAAGAATTTGTCAAGGCCTTCGGAGGCATCACAGAAGTGGACTTTCGAATCGGCCACTCCCACATACCTTGTTCCTGGCCCCGAATATGCTTACATTCGGGCCCAAATAAGTAGAGTAAATTAGAATGGGGGTGTTGAGGTCATGTAGAACCAAAAGACGCGTGATTGTCGAAGTAAATGATCGGTAATTATTCATGTCGCCTCTTATTTTTGAAAGGAGGGGTATGTTTTTTTTTTTTTTTTTTTAATTCTATTTTTCGCTTTTGGCTTCTTGGCTTCTTGGCTTTTTGGCTTCTGGGCTTTGGCCTTTCGCATCCTCTGGATTCCCAGTTCCTCTTTGACAGGTGGCATTTTGGCTTTTGCGGCTTTTCGCTGGTTTTTGCAGCTTTTGGCGGCTTTCGCTTGTTGCATCCTCTGCTCCGGGCTTTTTGGCTTTTGCACCCTTTCATTGGTTTTTGGATGTGGCTTCCCGCGTCATCAGCATCACCAGTTCCTCCCTATTTGAATCATCATTTCTTTGAACATCATGGGGGGGGAAGCCCCCCCGCAACCCACCAACCCACTCGCTACTGTTTAGATTGAGTAATTGCACCCCTATTTGAATCAACACTTCTTCAAACATCATGGGGGGGGGGCTGCCGCCTCCCCCCCGCTACTTTTTGGATTTATCTTGCAGAGATTGAATTGCACCCTTAGTTCAATCATCACTTTTCGAGCGTTCAATTTCGCGAGAAAATGCTGCAAAATACGACATTTTAGGTATTCTGTGTAATCCATGTATGTCTGCATGTATGTACTTCTTCGAACATCATAGGGGAAGCCACCCCCGCCAACCCTCCCGCTGCCCTTTAAATTCTATCGCACCCTTTCTTGAATCATCACATCATTGGGGGGGCTGCCGCCCCCCCCCCAACCCCCCCGCTACGTTTTAGATTTTCTACAGAGATTTAATTAGTTGCACCCCTAGTTGAATCATCAGTTCTTCGAACATCATGGGGGGGGGGCTGCCGCCCCCCCCAACCCCCCGCTACGTTTTGGACTTTTTGCAGAGGTTTAATTGCACCCATATTCAAATCATCACTTCTGCAAACAACATCATGGGGGCGGCTACCGCCCCCCCCCAACCCCCCCCGCTACTTTTTAGTGTTTTTTTTGTTGAAATGCTCTCCTATTTGAATCATCATCTTTTTTGACCCCGTCAACCCGCCAGCTACTTTTTTTGATTTTGTTACCCACGATTTGTTGGTGATGCTAGGGATGTTGGTCGGACATGCGGGGGATGTTGAAAATGATCTTTGGGATGTTGATGGGCTTGTGTAAAATGCGTCAATTTCGCGAGAAAATGCTGTAAAATACAACATTTTACTGGCCCGGACGAAAAACGAAAGAACAATCTCAAAAAAATCCGAAAAAAAATAAAATAAATAAATCCGCACACTTTAGAAACCCCAAGACCTTGGACCTTTTGCTCTCCAAGCGAATGTTTCCAGCTCTGAACTGGGCGGGTTGCGAACCAACCCGTGAATTGCACAAGTTCCATTGAAGGTTTCGTTTATACCGGGGTTCCATTCATTTTGGGTCGGATAAAAGCTTGAAGGAACTCGCTGAGGAATGCGCAGTGCCTTCTCTTCCATTCGGTGAAGCTTGATGTTTCCCTGCCGGTTTTCAAGAGGATTGGTTGCGTCGTGACTGGGTGTTTTAGTAATTGCCTGATGCAAATGACAAGTTTTCTCACTTGATTTGTCAAATAAGGACTGTTGTTGCGACACATGACGTGATTTTTGTTTGAAGGGAGCAGTGTTTTGGCGTGCAACAAACCGCACGGATGCCTGCCTACAAATCAACGTGAAACCCAAAAGGGGGGTCCCTTCCCCAATACCATCTCCGAACATGGATTTGTAGTTTTCGGTCTTCTCCTATGGGGAATATGTGCGCAAGCAGGACCTTAAAAACTACATCTTCAAACAGATCGAGAAGGAGATCAAAGTGGCGAACAAAATGAAGGAGACCGCCGGGTTTGCGGGGGGGGGGGGGAGCTGCTTCGACATTAAGCCCAATTGTTCCGGGGGTTCCGCCCGTTTACCCAAAAATGGTCAACCCGCACACGGGCAGTGCTCCTTTTTGTTTCAAAGGGTGGCAAACCACGGTTGGAGCATCAGAATGCCCGAAGAGGCGCTTCGCACTCGGCGACTGAACGCTGAATCGGTTTTTTGCGGCATATCTGGGCAATCAAGCGCTCTGGGAGTAAAGCGAGCTCGCCCATGATACTCGGTAAGACAAGGTGTAGCGGGAAAGTGGGACCTGATTTCCGGCTTGGGCCTTGATTGCTATTGGGTTGGATCTTAAGACTTTAACTTTTTGGGCAATGAAGGGTTTTGAACCCATTGAACCCACCAAAAGTTAAACTGTTTGCAGAGGGGTCGTTCCAGCAACCAAGGCCTGGGGCTTTTCGCAATTTGGCATCCCGGAACCATGAAACGCACTTTGCACGGAACCTTTTTCCTACTTTCGGAACGGGAAGCTGAAAATGGGAAAGGCTCCGAGCCTGCCAGGTTGCCAGGCTCTTGAGATCTGGGAAGTTGGGCTTGCAGGAGTTTTGCCCAGGCCAAAAGGCGCTGGCACACAGGCCCAGGCAAGATGGTAGCTTGTCGGTCTTTTCTTTTCAGCTCCATATCAAAAGCTAATCGAAGGAACCCCAAAACAGAGGGTTACTGGCAGACTCCGATCCTGGTGGGTTCTACATGTAAAACTGTAAAACAGCAAAAAGTAAAGCAGTAGAAAAATAAAACAAATCAGCCCATGGTCGTGAAGTAAAATGCCCTGACCATGGACTGAAACATTTTACTTTTGATCTGCAATTCCGTCTCCATCCCTTGTTCCCACGGGCATTTGAGCTTGGGCCGCGAGCCGCGTCAAGCCAAAAACGTTGCCTCCCTGGCCCTGGCCAGGAGGAAGTCCGTTCCTCAGTGCGGAGGGAGCTCGCTGGACGGGTTTGCTAGATGGCCCAAGTAGCGCGCAGAAACCAAGGGAATTTACAGGGTTTCGCTTAGGCGATGGGCCACTAAAGTTGGGGCAGTTCAGATCCCCCCAGGTACCGCCGGTACTGCTCACGCCGTACCGTGGAGAGAATAGAACAAGTCCGGCTACAGGGTTTCGCTGGTTCTCTACCAATATGTCACATGTTCTACCGCACGACTGACAACATGATTCGCTTAGACTTTGGCCCTTTTTCCCAAGTTTTGTTAAACTTAGGGAATCTACCGTGCACGACCTTTTGATACTTCCGTTTCGGACTTTAGTCACTTTTTGGGCTTGGACCGTTCCCCCATGACTCAGAACCTAGTTTTGCTCCAGAGTACCGTAGAGTACCCGCCCTACAACCTCATTCTGTTCATTGTGGCCCTAGCGCGTATCAGCCGGAGGATTGTTCCTGGCAAGCAGTGCCAGTTTTTGGCATGCCCTTTTGCAAGTCCGACCGTTGCAGGCTCCAGAAAACAGGGCTGTGGGAAAGGACCACTTCTGTGATACAACAGAACGGCTTGTCAAGAACTAAGCCTCCATCTTATGGGGGAGATTCCCTTGTATCACAGAATGGGAAAAACTGTGTGAAAATACCTCGTCGGGGGATCCGACTGTGACTCATGGCACGCAGTCACTCCTAAGTACCGCGGCAATGCTCGGGATTCTTCAGGAAGGAAGGCATAGCGAAGGCATAGCGACCTCAAGATGTCTCCATGAAGCTTCCTTACTTATTGCAGGTGCGTGGCTGATCGAAGCGATTGGCCCAGAAGAAGGTCGTAGATTTTTGATGTCCTTTCAATTTTAGGTGCCCTAAGTAGAGAAATCAAGCAGAGTTTGCCTAAAGAAGCGCCGATTTCAGCTCGCCAAATCTGGCTTCAGCCTCTTTGGGTTGGCAAAGCGAAACGACCTCTTTGAATTGTTGGTTTGGGTTCCCATTTTTTTGTAGTCATGGCTCCAAAAGATTCACTTTCTGTTTCTTGGTCCCATCCGGGGCAACTGAGTTCAGGACACCCTCCCCATGTAATGAACGACGCATCTTGTTTTTTTGCTTTCGGTTTCGTTTGCCCAAGGAGAAGGACCAGGATGCGGATGAAGACGAGGACAAGTGGCTTCGGCCAAGAGGGTCTCCACATGGGTGTGGGTCACAAACTGAATGGACTTTTATTTTTTTGGAAAGGCCAGTTTTGGTGGTGAACGAAAAGTTCGGACTCTTTCTTTTTGGCCAGTCCACTCAGGAAGTGAGACAATAGGGTAACCCCAAAATGGAGCCCTGGTAAATGGAAGCAAGGACGAGAACCTGTGGTCTCCTGATGGTGTAATTTTGACCCATACCCATCAGTAGGGGGATCCCGAAATGGTTAGTTTCGTTCAGGTAATC